CCATTGGATTGAACTTGGTAACTTGGAGCTGAAGTTTCTTCATAAGTCCGAATTTGAAATTCATGTTTTGGGCTCTAAACATAAAATTAGCACGCGTTTGTGATCTAAACATGTTAAACCAAGTTGCCAAAGTGGATTAGAGCCATAAAACGGAAGGATTGGATGAGTTTTGATGGAAATCAAACCATACTTTGCTCGTGCATCAGGTTCACACGATTTCCCTCCAAACTTCATCATTTCACACGCTTGAACATTCCATTTGATTCCCTATAAATAAAGGGTCATCCCCCATTCATTTCCTCAAGCTTTGAGAGCCAAAAATACTCTGTCAAAACCTCATACGAGCTTGAAATTTTTGAAATCAGTTTCTGAGATTCCAGCCTTTTCCTCCAAAATTCTTTGCATATTCATCTTCCTTAAGCATCATACAAACTCTCCAGCACTTAAACCAAGCAAAACGAGCTATAATCCAAGCTACAAAAGTCTAGTTTCAAAGCTTCTTTCTTGAACTTCGAAAAGGTATAATTCTCCACATTTGGATCCAAATAAAGCACTAACCTGTTCTACTCCTTCTCCTGATTCTAGTGCTTCTTACAATTTTTAAATCCATTGAGAATTGAGAGAGAAATCTCAAATTGTAGGTGCTCGCTATTTTCTGGGTTTTTGATTCATATCTCTTTGTATACTTTATACAAATTTGGCGCGATAGTGGTGTTAGGATCGTCTTGAAGAGGCGGATCCAATGATACAAGTTTGGGATCCTAATTTTACCGTTTGAGGGATCTCACAAAATCTCCATTGCAGGGTGGCTGGAGGTTGAACATGATGACATGTCTCGTCTCAGCCAATGATAGCGTGCCAGGCATTTTAATTTCATTAGTTGCCTCTTTTCTGATTCCCTACGCATCTCACTAAGGTCCATACCAAACACAACGCATCTGGTCCATTGGATTAGCTTACTAACGCGTTTTAATTATGATCTGATGACCCATATCTTTTTGGTTTTATTTTATTTTTTGATTTTTATATTTTAATTGATTTAATTTTTAAAAATTCATAACTCTTTTATTTTTTATCCAAAAATTATGAAAAAAATCACAAAAATACTTTGAATTATTTCTGATCTCATGACTATTTTTTTCACATTTTTATTTTGACATTTGATATTTTTTTATATTTTTTGCATTATTTGCTTCTTTTTAATTACTTTAAAAATGCTTTCTGACTTTTTTTTTTTAATTCTGAATAATTTCCTAAATATCATTTTGCATACTTCTGACTTTTTGAAAATTTTATGGAATTTTATATTGATGTTTACTATTTTTGACCTATTTTCTTTTTGTTTGAACAATTTTAATTAGTTTTAAAATAGTTTCTGACTTTTAAAAATTTCCAAAAATTTTATAAAAATATTTGAGTCCTTTTCTGATTTTTCTATGGCCTTACTCAATTTTTCTTGATTAATTTGAATATAGTTGATATTTTCCTTTTTTATTTTCATTTTAAAACATTTTTTAAAACCTTTTTTAATGTATATATTAAATGCAATATTATTTTGTGATTATTTTCTGGTTGAACTTGGGTTGAATTTTGATCATGAACTTTATTAACATTATTGGATTCATGGTGTTGAGTCTAACTCCATAAAAAGGGATGAATGATTTTAATAATAGTTTGATTTAAATTTAATTCAAATGTGGTTTGTATATTCTTTCTCACCCCTCTTCATCTTGTCCCTTTCTTATTGCACTAAGTGTTATTGGAGCATGATCTCTATATCATGTCTCAAAATAAATGGTGCATAGATTGCTATTGACCGACCTCAAAATAGGTGTGACTTCTATATAAGTTCACTTACGATTACTTAACATAGCGCTAAATTTTGTCCTGATTCGAATAAATAATCATTTGTGGCCCAAACCTATGTTTGTAAGCCCAAGTATGTTAATTTGATCCCTTTGATCCAATAACCTTTAGATCCATTGTATGGAGGCTTTGATTCTACAAATCCTCTAATGAATCTACAAAACTTTTGGTCAACGTGGATCACTTAAACATCATTGATCATTAAATGGTACTTTTGAGAATTCCAAATGGATGATATACTTGACAAAAATCAAATGCAACTTATTGTGTGGAGGCTTTGGTTCTACCAATCCTCTAACGAGTTCCAAATGCAAGTTTCAAGATGGTCATCCAACTAACCACTAATTATTAAATTGCTTTTACTTTGTGCCATTTTATTTTTTATGGTTTATGTACCATTTACTTTAAGCATTACATTTCATGTCATTTTTATTTTGCTCTTTTGAGCTTTTCTTTTCTCTTCTAAGACACTTAATAATCAACATGAACCATAAAAACCCTTTAAAATACTTGGACTATTTAGTTACTATCCTTGGCATTATGGAGTATTGAACTTCTTGGATTTAGGATTAGAAACCTTGGCCTATATTGGAGACTTTGTGACCTTAATTGATAGTTTGTCTGGAGTTCTTGAGGTTTACCTCAAGACATTGAGTTGTTTGTTTGTTTTGTGTGCAGGTTATTGTGATTACATTCTTTGTTTGTAATATGGAATTCACCCGTATACAGCCGTTACTCTGTCCATTTTTTGTAAAAACTTAATACATTTAAAGTTTGGTTCTCACAAGAAGTCTAGTGTCTTTGCTTGCTTGGTTTCAATCCAAAGAATGAGAATTCTATCTTGACTCATAATGTCAAGTATTGGCTTCTTGTTGGTTAGTTGGTTCTTATCCCTAGCTTTTACCTTATGCTTTAGAATAGTCTCTTCTTCTCCTCCTATCTTCTTTAATTTCAAAAATCTTCTCCCTCCTTTTGAAAACTCTTCTTAAACTTGAACCACTTTCATAATAAACTTGGACTTAGGTCCATGCATTTTCAAAACATTTTCATAAAGAAACTTCAATCAATTTAATAATATCTTGACATTTTTTGAGAAGACTAAAAGTTAATCAATCTCATTTCACACTATTTTTTGCCACTTTGACTTTTTACTTTAAAACTTATTCTCAAAAGATTAGACTCTTATCAATCCTTATAGTGATGCAAACAACTATACTTCCATAATATATAGTGAAGTGAGATATTTTCCACTTGGGTGTTGAGTGAGGCATTGTTGATTTTAAGATCCAAGCGATATCCTCCACTTTAAGATGATGTAAATTCTCCTTTCTCATGATTGTGGATAGTAAGTATGTTTTCCACACGGACAATGACGATGATGTCTTATCTCATAAAATTAACCAACACACTTGTGTTTTAAAATTCTTTAAAAGAGGAACTACGTGTACCCTGATCCCCTATTGCATGAAAGGTGATACGTAGGCACTAAAGGTTCGCAACCGCGGTGGGTGCAAAAATCATAAAATATATATTTCTTTTCTCATCTCCACCGTCTATTTTACATACAACATTTTATAGCCAAAATATACAGATTTTACAAAGAGGTTCCTGCGGAGTACCGTAGATGTTTAGGGTGCTAATACCTTCCATTTGTATAACCAACCCCCTTACCTTGAACCTTTCCCCCTCTTTTTGAGTTACTCGCTCTTTTCTCATTTCTTTGGAAATAATAAAACACAGTGGCAATTTTTATTTTGATCTGTATAAGTCTAGTCAATCCAATGGCTTAGTATTAAACATTTCTACCGCTACACACATAAATATTGTTAAATAACTATTTTAAGTATAACCTAATTTATTAGTTACTTAATCAATGAGAATCTAAATATTATTTAATGAAAACAAATAATAAAATATTGATTTCATAGGAAGGAAAATATATTATTTATTTATTTTTTGATTGTAAAGAGGACTTAGAGAAGAAAGAGAAAACTACACCACAACAAATTTAGAGGTGACAAAATTCCGTTCATCAGTATCCAGAATACGATTAAATAGTTATGAGCAACGAAAAAAGAAAATATAAATATCATCTAATGAAAAAGTATACTTTACTAAAGCATCTGATAATCTATTTGCTTCCCGATACGGATGATTAAAAATCATTTCCCAATCCATGTCTAATAATCTCCATATCTCTTTAATTATAAATCTCCCAAGAGTGATATTCTTCCGACTCATAACAACATATATCACATCTTTGGAATCTAAGCGAATCTCCACCTTAAAAAAATGCATACTCCAAGCCAACTTGAGGCCTTCAAATAAACCCCTCATCTTTGTCATAAAAAATTCCTCATCTAATGACCTTAAAAAAACCACTTAATCATTCCCCATCACTTCTTCAAAGGACACCACCACAACCAATTAACCCATTTCTGCAAGTTCCATCAACATTCAGACAAACTCATCCTGTTGTGAGGAGCCTTCCAACCCACTTGAATAACAACCTGACGATGATTTTCTTTAGGTTGAATGACATTCTCTTCTAACAGATCACACTCTAGCATCTGACGAACCGCTACCTCTTGCTTTGAAGGCCGCACAAACCCTTCTTCATACTTCTCCTTATTCCTCCATCTCCACGTCACATGACACATCGTAGTCTAAAATTTGCTCCACCTCTTATTGACCCTCAAACTTCCTATATCAGCCACATTAATAGTTATCCACTCCTTCAAAGATATGACGAATCTGTCTAGGAACAACACCAACCAATTTAGAAGGAAAAAAGAAATCATGTCATATAACCCGTATTAATTCCATAAACTTTTTCCCTTATTTTTTTTCTTCTTTTTGTTGTTAACATGCATGAAGTAATTAAATATTTAATTAATATATTTTTGAAAACAATAAAAGTAAGTAAAAAATAAATATAAAAATGGATGGAATGAGTGAAAGGAAGCGTGAATAGTCTCCAGCAATCCGATAGATAGGATATGAATTGAAGCATAGAAATATAGAATTGGTTTGTATTTTAGCGTAAAATAAAACTAAAACCCTCTTTTCATTTCTCTACTTCACTCTCTCCGCCTAATCCTAAAACCTTATCTCTTCTTTTCTTCATTCTCCCCATGGATTCCCAAACCCTATCTTCTTCTTCCTCTTCCCAATTTCATGAACCAAATGACCTACTTAACGGTGTTAACGGTCACGGTTCCGATTCCGATGACGGTTTCGTTAGCGGTGAAGACGAAGCTGAGCCTCCCAGGCCCATTCTTGTTTACGATGACAAATCCACCGTTCCACAGAAAGAACATGAGTCTTTTGATCAGGAATCATCCAGGCCTATTGCTAAGGTAACCGCTGACGATGAAGACGAAGCGGAGGAGGATGAGGATTCGCAGGGTGTCGGTTTGGAGAAAGGCGGTGGTGATAAGGATGTTGAAGAAGTGAAGGAGGATGAGGTTTTTGTGGAGGCTAATGATAAGGGTTTTGAGAGTGTGGATTCTGAAGGGGGTGAGGTTGTTGGAGAAGGAATTAATAACGGTTTATACGAGAAAGGGGATGGTGGGACAGCTGAAATTGAAGCTGTTCGTTCTGATTCTGTGGTTGTGGAATCGGTTTCTGGCGATAATTCTGGTGTTGGTGTTGTTGAGAATGGTGATAGGGTTGTTGATGATGCGGAGTTTACCAGTGGTGGAGGAGATGTTGTTGTTGATAGCGTTCAAGTTAATCCTTTGGTGGATGGAGCTGTTGCTGTTGTTGGGGATGAAGTGAAAGATGAGGTTGTGGCTCCTGCTCCTGCTCCTGCTCCTGTTGTGAGTCTTGATAATAGTTTTGAAGCTATTGAGAAGGCTGGCAGTGAAAGTGTTGTTGATGAGGTTGGTGGTAGTTTTGAATCTAGTGACAAGGGTGACCAAGTTGTTGTTGGAGCGGATGTTGAGCCTAGTAAAGTTGTTGACACTGGAGTTGAGGTTGGAGTTGATGATAATGTTACACATGAGCAACCGGGTGACATTGTTATTACTGAGAAGGCTGGTGACGTTGTTGTTGATGAGAGTGTCGGTGGCAATACCAAGCCTGATGAAGTTGTTGACATTGGAGTTGATGATGGTGTTGCACAAAGGCAATTGAGCGGCATTGCTCCGGCTGAGGAGGGTGAAGAAATTTCAGAAGTTGTGAGTTGGAGTTTGGAGGCTGAAAAAGATGAGATAAACATAGAGAGTCGTGCTGTTGAGGGAGAAGTTGGGAGCAATGTTGTTGAGGTGGATGGTGGGAGCCATGTTGATAATCTTGTTGAAAAGGAAACGGAAAGCAATGTTGATCATGTTGTTGAGGTGGAAGGTGGGAGCCACACTGATAATGTTGTTGAAAAGGAAGCGGAAAGCAATGTTGATCACGTTGTTGAGGTGGAAAATGAGAGCCATGTTGGTAATGCTGTTGAGACGGAAGTCAGGAGCAATGCTGACCATGTTGCCAAGGTTGAAGATGAGACCTGTCTGGATAATGCTGCTGTGGGAGAAGCCGGGAGCAATTTTGATCGTGTTGTCGAGGTTGAAGATGAAACCCATTTTGATAACGCTGCTAAGGGGGAAGCCAAGAGCAATGTTGTCGAGGTTGAAGATGAAACGCATTTTGATAATGCTGCTAAGGTGGAAGCCGAGAGCAATCTTGTCGAGGTTGAAGATGAAACCCATTTTGATAATGCTGCTAAGGTGGAAGCCGAGAGCAATCTTGTCGAGGTTGAAGATGAAACCCATTTTGATAATGCTGCTAAGGTGGAAGCTGAGAGCAATGTTGTCGAGGTTGAAGATGACACCCATTTTGATAATGCTGTTGAGGAGGAAGCCGATAACAATGTTGATCGTGTGATTGAGGTGGATGATGGTAGCCATGTTGAGGCTGCTGTTGATCATCATATTGACAGAGAGATTGATGAATCAATGATCTTTGGAGGCTCTGATTCTGCCAATAAATACCTGGAAGACTTGGAGAAGCAAATTAGGGCCAGTGAGAGTTCACAGGGTGACAGAATTGATGGCCAGATTGTTAGCGACTCAGATGAAGAAGATGTATCTGACGATGAAGAAGGTAGCAAAGAGCTCTTTGATTCTGCTACTTTGAATGCTCTCTTGAAAGCAGCATCTGAAGCGGGGGGAGCAGATGGTGGTGGCATCACCTTAACTGCTCAAGATGGATCTAGGCTTTTCTCTGTCGAGCGTCCTGCTGGTTTGGGACCATCTCTCCAGACAGGTAAACCTGCAGTGCGTTCAATTCGGCCCAATCTTTTTGCTCCTTCCATGAGTAGAGCAGGTACTGTTGTTTCTGATACCGATTTGAGTGAAGAAGATAAGAAGAAGCTGGAGAAATTGCAGGAAATTAGGATAAAATTCCTAAGAATGATTCAGAGACTAGGTTTTACTACTGAAGAATCAATAGCAGCACAGGTGTTGTATCGTTTGACACTTGTTGCAGGGAGACAAACTGGTGAAATCTTTAGCCTAGATGCTGCAATGGAGAGTGCTTACCGGCTTGAAGCCGAGGAAAGAGACAATTTAGCATTTTCTTTAAATATATTGGTTCTTGGGAAAACTGGTGTGGGAAAGAGTGCTACAATTAATTCAATTTTCGGAGAAACCAAAACCAGCTTCAGTGCATATGGTCCTGCTACTACTTCTGTAACAGAAATTGTTGGAATGGTTGATGGAGTGACAATAAGGGTCTTTGACACACCAGGTTTGAAATCTTCTGCTTTTGAGCAAAGTTACAACAGAAAAGTTTTGTCTACGGTGAAGAAATTGACCAAAAAATCCCCCCCTGATATTGTTCTGTATGTGGACCGCCTCGACCTGCAAACTAGAGATATGAATGATTTGCCCATGTTGAGATCAGTTACTAGTGCCCTCGGTTCAACAATATGGCGTAATGTGATTGTTACTCTGACTCATGCTGCCTCTGCTCCTCCAGATGGGCCATCAGGTTCCCCACTAAGTTATGATGTATTTGTTGCTCAAAGATCTCATATTGTTCAACAAACCATTGGACAGGCTGTTGGCGACCTGCGTCTTATGAATCCAAATTTGATGAATCCAGTTTCACTTGTTGAAAACCATCCTTCTTGTCGAAAAAATAGAGATGGCCAGAAGGTGCTTCCTAATGGTCAAAGTTGGAGACCTCTGTTATTGCTTTTATGTTACTCAATGAAGATTCTCTCTGAGGCTACTAACATTTCAAAGACTCAGGAAGCAGCTGATAGCCGCAGGCTGTTTGGTTTTAGAAGCCGCGCCCCACCACTTCCATACTTGCTGTCTTGGTTGTTGCAGTCACGCGCCCACCCCAAACTCCCTGATCAAGGTGGGATTGATAATGGTGATTCTGATATTGAAATGGCTGATTTATCTGATTCTGATGGAGAGGAAGGTGAAGATGAATATGACCAGCTCCCACCATTTAAACCTCTAAAGAAGTCGCAGATTGCTAAGCTTAATGGAGAGCAGAAAAAGGCATATCTTGAGGAATATGATTACCGGGTGAAACTTTTGCAGAAGAAGCAATGGAGAGAGGAGTTGAAAAGGATGAGAGACATGAAGAAAAAAGGAGGTAAAAACGTTGAAAATGACTACATGGAGGAAGATGAAGAGAATGGAAGTCCAGCTGCTGTGCCAGTTCCACTGCCTGATATGGTGTTGCCACAGTCCTTTGATAGCGACAGTCCAGCCTATAGATACCGTTTCTTAGAACCGAATTCTCAGTTGCTGACAAGGCCGGTCTTAGACACTCATAGTTGGGACCACGATTGTGGTTACGATGGTGTTAACATTGAAAACAGCATGGGCATTATCAACAAGTTCCCAGCAGCAGTTACTGTTCAAGTAACAAAAGACAAGCAAGATTTCAGCATTCACTTGGATTCATCGGTTGCTGCTAAACATGGAGAAAATGGTTCAACCATGGCAGGCTTTGACATTCAGAACATTGGAAAGCAGCTGGCGTACATTGTTAGAGGTGAGACCAAGTTCAAGAATTTCAAAAGAAATAAAACTGCTGCTGGGGTGTCTGTGACATTTTTGGGTGAAAATGTGTCCACCGGTGTGAAACTTGAAGATCAAATAGCACTGGGGAAACGATTGGTATTAGTGGGGAGCACAGGGACCGTGCGGTCTCAAAATGATTCTGCTTATGGTGCCAATGTTGAAGTGAGGCTTAGAGAGGCAGATTTTCCAGTTGGTCAAGATCAGTCTTCTTTGAGTCTTTCTCTGGTGCAGTGGAGAGGTGATTTAGCCTTGGGAGCCAATTTTCAGTCACAGATTTCTCTTGGACGAAGCTATAAGATGGCGGTTCGTGCTGGATTGAACAACAAGCTTAGCGGGCAGATCACTGTGAGGACAAGTAGTTCTGACCAACTTCAGATTGCCCTTATTGCTATTCTTCCAGTTGCCAAGGCTATCTACAAGAACTTCTGGCCTGGTGTTACTGAAAACTATTCCATCTATTAAGCTCTTTTTGCTAATCCTGCTAGTTAAGGAAGTAGACTATGAGGTAATAATGTGATGCTGCATCTTTTCATTAATTTTTTAAATAATGTTTTTTTGTAGTTATGTCTGGACTGTTGAATCTTATGCTGTATTTTGTTTTTCACCTGAAAGTTGTGTACTGAAGTTGAGATGGAACCTACAGGGAATTTATTCACAATTGTTTTCATAGCTTCTATTTGAATAATGCCAATGCCAGATTATGTTTATTCTGTCATTCCTGACTTCTTTTGTTCTTTCTACTTTACTACTACGACTTCTGTTTATTGGTTGAATAGTAAAATATGTTTGAAATAAAATCTTGGACTACTATGCTGAGCAATACCTGAATATCAATATGCCAATGTGTATTTTTTGTTTGCAGGTTTGAATCAGGTGGTTTATGTGAATTAGGAAATTGCGGCTTTGGAGCTCGTCAAAGTATTGTTATCTTAGAAAATAAAGTGTTGAATTAGGAAATCATCTGTAGCAATGCTCAGGTTTGCTGAACTGAATGAAGAGTTTCAGAAAAAGGTGTTACAGTTCGCAACTTGAAATTTTGATTGTAGTTTCACTCAATGACTATTCATAATATTGTATGTTTTAAGTTCCCTTGGTTTTAATCAGAGTTCTCTTATTATTTGGACACATGATAAATCATCATTTCTCTATTAATGAATGGAAAAACTTTGGTTTAGTGTCTAAGTTTATGCTCCTACTGTCTCCCTCTAAATTACCAGGTAGATAGATGGTTTCCACCCGATGCACATGCACCCCTTGAATATGTTTGCAAGAAGTTACTATTAAACTATTAGTTTCTAGAGTTCAAATTTCTTAAAGAAATTTCCATGTCTTAGACTTGAGGAATTACCACCTACTTGAGACTGTTATATACTATAATCTTTAGTAACACAGTAGAAGCAGTAAAAAACGTATTAAGGTAAATCCATTATTAATATCATTCCATCTGGTTTCAACCGGTTGAGTTCGACGTAGTTGAAGTCCACCCTAATATTTTGACAACTACTTTACCCTAATATTATGTGTTTGGTAGTATATTTTTGGATGAAAAAAATACATGTTTTGTAATTATTTTTTTTGTTGAAAAAATGGGACATCTTGGAAAATGCTCTTTCTATCCTTATGGGTGTTCCTATACTACCGTGAAAAGTCTATAACAACTTTAGCGTATAGAGATGAATCTTTGGATATATTTTTGTTACACACTCTTTAGCATAAATTGATGAATCATTTTTATTTTGCAAAAAAATTAGCTCGGAGTTGCATCTCTCTAAATTTCTTTGAAGAAAAAGCCCCTTTTTTCTTGAAATTTCAAAAATTCCAGACCTCTTCATAGTAGTTGACTTTGTCATGGTGTTCTACTTCGGTGTTTCTGTTATGATATCCAATCTTCTATGTGGATGAAATTGCTAGATTTATGATAATGTTCTCTCACCTTATTGCGAAAAATTTACTGTGACTGCATTGTTAACTTTCAAACTGCAAACCGTATGTGTAGTTAAAAATAATAATAAAAAAGAGAGAAGAATCTGAAGTTTTGTTAACAATTAGGAAAATAGAAACAGTAGTTATACTTGAAAAAATGCAACATAGTGTAGTAGGTTATATAACTGTAGTAGGTTATATAACTGATTAGAATCAGAACAATCAATCTACACTGATTTGAGAGGGAATACACTACCAAATCACTTTTTTACGGAAGTATATTTCTGAATTTTTTTTCTGGAGATTCATTTTCAGAAGTTTTTTTGGATAAAATAAGGGTGTCTTATTTGCAATATCTTTGTTGATATGATTTTGAATGCATTTAAAAACGTATTTTCAGATACACCAAAGATAATTTCAGAATTTTAAAGATGTAGAAGATCACATAACGGTAGAAAGAGCATTCCTCAATTGTTTTTCATTGATAGTCAGTCATATTTTGTTCAAAATATTACAAGTCAGTATCCTGAATAACTTATACACGAATTTCAGATTTTTAAAAATACAGAGACCATTGATAGTCATTCATATCTTGTTCAAAATATTACAAATTGATCGTCATTCATATCTTGTTCAAAATATTACAAGTCAATGTTCTGAACAACGTATACATGAAATCCAAAGTGAATAATTAATCTTAGAGCTTTGTTAATTTGACACCATTTTTGGGTACACCGTATCATACATCGGATAAACTATCAAAGTAAAATTATCTTGCACACAAATCAATGTAAAATAAATTGTTAAAAAATGAAACTGGTATGTATTATGTAATAAATTACGGTGTAGATGTTGAAACTTGGTGTCAAAATAGATTTTCTCTTAATCTTAATGTGTGCAAACAAACACATTAGAAAAAAATGTTTAGATCAGTCGCGATCGTATGGAGGGTTTAAAACTTTAAAAAAAAAAAAAAGAATTTTTTTATATTTTTTAAAAATATTACAAATATTTTTAAATATTTTTTATAAATTAAAAAGTAATATACATTATTGAACTCATTAAAAAATGATGATCAAAATATAGTTAAAATTATAAATTTTTTAGAAAAATATATTTAAAAAATTATGAAAAACTATTTGAAATAGCTGTAAATTTTAAAAGTTTGATATTAAAAAAAGAGTTATAACAAAATAATAAAATATCTAAAATAAAATTTTAAAAATAACTGTTTAAATTAATTTTTTGTTTGATTTTTTTTTTAAATTCTTAAAAAATTTCAAACAAAAAAATATTATGTCATAAAAACCATTTTTAAAAAAGTTAAAACAAACAAACTTCAATTTGAATTTTTTACATAGATTTCACTCAATTTTTGTTTATATTATTTTATATTTTTTAAAGATTTGAATAACTCCTCCGTATTTTTTAAATATTCATTTAACTATTAAAAATTCTAACATAGGCCTCACTTAATTGAGAAAGAATTGGCTACCTTTTAATTTCCATAACTCTGTAACTTTAGGTCTATATCTCAAGGTTTTAACTTGATACCTCAATTTGGCAATCTTCAAAATGGATGAACGGATCAAAATGGCTCGATTAAGATTTTTTACGTATTTTTGAAATTTTGGTACCACATCGAAAATTTTAAATTTATAAGGCGATATTGGAGATTTCGTGAAAGGGTAAGAATTTATGGTATTTATATCAAATTTCCAGTATTTTGTCACAGAAAGTTAGAAATTTTCAGTATTTCGTGTCGGAAATTTGTAAGTTTTCGATGATTTTGATACGTTATATATCGGAAATTTTGAAATTTCCGATCGTTCATTTTTTTTGGAAAAATACTAGAAATTTAAAAAGTTTCGATAGTTCAATCTTTTTTAAAATTGTCTACAGAGCCATCAGTTAACTTTGATGGAGGCTTTTTAGGAGGACCTTCAGACACATTCGTGCTGATAGATTTTCTGAGCACGTCGCATACAGGATATGGCAGGGTGAGGTATATATCATGTTTTTTTTTATTGTAAATTTTTCCTAACGACTTGATGTGTAATATATTTTGTTTTTTACAGGAGCGTGCGGTACTGAAGGTCGCATCTCATACTTCGAAGTTGAAGAACTTCCTAGATGGTGGTGACATGCCTGAGGAGGTCGGACGTATTGTGAGAGATTTTTATTTGTCGGAGTTCGCTCAGTGCTCATTGACTATGCTCGACGCCTCCCTTCTATTAGCTTTTGTTGAGAGGTGACACCCACAGACATCATCTTTTCATCTTCCATTTGGAAAAATGACCATCACATTGGATGATATCGACGCCTTGTTTCACATCCCGATCGTTGGTACATTTCTCACTCCTACTTATATTAGCCAGTCGACGGCGTTGCGCATGGTCATGGATGATTTTGAGGTATTTGAGGGGAAGGTACTAGAGGAGTTTGACGTTAATCGGGGATTTCACCTTCGAATGTCTTGGATGAGGACATTGTACAGGGAGCTGGTGGAGGCCCATAGGTATGAAACTGCCGCTAGGGCGCACATGCTACATCTGATGACATGTATTCTCCTTGCAGACAAGTCTGATGTTTACATTGATGTTCACTACTTATCTCTATTCAATACACTAGACACTCCATATTAGGCTTAGGGAGTGGAAGCGTTAACCATGTTGTACACAACACTTGGAGTTGCTTCTCAGTCTAAGACCAAAAAACTAGCTGGTTATCTGAGCATATTCTAGGCTTAGGGTTTTGTTTGTATTCATTATCTAACGATGTGAGTTTCTTGCAAGACTTGTTTGTAGTCATTATCCAATAACCTGGACTTCTTGCAAGACTCACTTGTCTTCATCACCTTACACTTTTGCTTGGTGCATAGCATACACATCATGTCATCATGCTATAGCATTTCGTTAACCATTTCAAGGATCTCTAGGGCCTGTGATGCAGGTTATGATGAACTAGACGTCTAGAAAGGGGCAAGGGGATTTATTTTCCTCTAGCCAATGTCGTCAAAAGACTAAAGCGCGATAACTTGAGTTAGAGGCTATGACCCACTCGACATGGTGAGCTTGATTCTTATAGAAGGACATTCAATGATGCGAAGTTCTTCCGTCAAAGATGCAATCAAAATTCAAACATTTTCTTGTGTTTACCCCGAGAGATCCTTGAAAAGATTGCATGCTTGTCATTACATAACAGGTATTCCCAAGACAGGTTTCTCATTTTCTCACAGTTTATTTCAGCAAGAAAGATGGCTCTCGAACAGAACGATAGAGATCTCCAAACTCAAGATGCTCAGTTCAAGGAAATGTTCCAGAATCTATCCAAGGGGAAAGAAGAACTGAAAGCACTCCTCGCTGAGAACACGGCCAAGAAAAATCCTGAAGATAACCAGGATGATTAGGTGGAACAACTGCAAGCTGAGATGGAAAGGATAAGAATCAAGATGAGTAGTCAGATGGCTCTTATCCAAAATTTAGCTCGGGGGCAAGAAGATTTAAGAATCCTTATCAGCGAACTTCGTCAAGATAGAT